GGGGAACCGATTTATATACATGAAAATATTCTTCTCTAATTCAAATAACATGTAAAAATAAGAATAATGTGTTTTTATGCTTGTGATAGATTTGGCATGCACGGTATGGACCTGGATGAAGTATGGATGTTGTATATTTGATATTGTAGTGTAGGAGTTAATATTTAGAGATTTACAATTTGAGATATATGGTATATACGAGGGTTTCCTTGTTTGGATTATTCCCTCGACGTACTCATCTCTCATATTGTGGGTTTCTAAATCTTACCTCTTTTTAGTATAGGGTATAAGAAGTATGCTTTATGGTAGACCTTTTTTTGATATCTATGTTTAGAAAGTTCTTTAATTGAGTTGTCATGTTTAGAAACTTCCTTTAGCATGTAATTGACATCCATGTTTAGAAACTTTCCTTTATCATCTTTAATTGAGTTTTCATCGTATTTTGGGTTATAAGATAGGCATTTTCTTCTATCACTGAAATTTAGAATTTTATCTTTTCCTTATATCTACCACTTATACTTACACGTACATAATTTCTTCATTTTACATGCTTGCTGGGAGTTTTCTGACTCCCCTGGGGTTTGCATGCCCCAGACTTGGGAATTGTTCTTTCTTCGCAGGACCAAGAGTACTTTAAGGATTAAGACCAGCGACAGTGACCTCTTCTCTCAGCTTAAGTTATTGAGTCTTTCTTGTAATCACTTGTGGTACTTCAGACTAAGATGTATTTTCCTCTTTCCTACTTTGAAGAGTTGTAGACATGTAAGAGAAATTTGTCTTTTCAGAGTTTTCTTTATCTATCTAGTTCCTTTGCTATTTTAGTTACATGCTCTATGTAGTAGTTCTTTTGGTAATTTATCTGTATACAGGCTGATCCAGAGGCGTGAATGTAACCGTATGGTTGCATTGCCAACCGAGTCACGCTCCAAATTATCACGTTTTGGACCCGGGGCGTGACACTGATTTTGTACTACTTCTATTATTTGCCTGTTTTGTATATTCACCTATTTGTTGTTTTCACTAGAGAGATAGTGACTGTGATGGTAAAACATATCGTAGCATAATGTTTGGTGCTTGGCAGGTTTGACAATCTGGGTTTCACCTTGGACTGCAGCCTTGTGTGAACCCTGGGACGTCACAAATGGACCCCTGAACATGACCCTGCTCCTGAGTCTTACCATCCACTGTATCCTCTTTCTGCCCGACTGTCATCTCATCTCCTCCCAGTGTCACCTCTGTAGGAGCCTCGATGGATACAATGCTATCTGGAGTGGGTGGAGTGGGTGGATTTACATCATCCTCCACCTGCTGCGATATCTCAACTGTCTGGTCTCCCTCCACCTGCTGAGGGACTCGAGGCCTCATCATATACACATCATCGAATGTGACACCTCTGCTAATAACTACCTCATCGAATGCGACATCTCTGCTAATAACTATCTTCTTGTCATATGGATCCCATAACTTAAAGCCTTTAACTCCATCTCTAAATCCCACAAAGATAGTTTTCCTCGCTCTCGGATTTAATTTACCATCACTGACATGGTAATAAGCTGGACACCTAAATATCCGAAACGACTCATGGTCACTAGCCACCGAAACCAAACCAACGCTCCAAAGGAGTCTTCTCGTCTATCGCAGTGCACGGTAACCTATTCATGAGATGGCTCACATAAACCACCACCTTGACCTAAAAGGATCTAGGCAATCCACTCTGCGTCATCATACATCGCACCTTCTCCAGCAAGGTATGGTTCAATCTTTTAGCCACCCCGTTCTGTTGCGGTTTCTCTCGAACTGTGAAGTGTCTTCTAATGTCGTAATCCCGATAAAACTACAAAAATGGATTACTCTTGTACTCTCCATCATTATCTGAACGTAGAGTCTTCACCTTTCTACCTGTCTGCAGCTCCACTTTCTTTTTTCACTCCACAAAAATATCCAGGACCTGATGTTTATGCTTCATAGGGTATACCCAATTCCTCCTGGAATAATCATCAATGAAAGTGATAAAATAATTGGCCCCACCAAGAGATGTGTTCTTGGAAGGACCCTAAATATTTGTGTGAATGTAATCCAATGTACCTCGGGTGTTATAAATAGCGGTGCCAAACTTCACTCTAATCTTCTTCCCAAGTACACAATGCTCACACAGCTCTATCTTGCATGTCTTAGCACCTTTCAATAGCCCCTGTTTTGCTAATGACTGTAGAGACTTATCACCTGTGTGTCCAAGTCTCATGTGCCATAAAGTGGTAGTGTCCTCCTCTGTAATGATAGCAACTGCCAAACCCCCTGTAACTGTCTTGCCCTTCAAGTAGTATAGTTTATTTTTCCTGACACCTCGCATCACCACCATAGAACCCTTCGTGACATTCACTATAGCATCATCTAAGATCACTCTATATCCAGCTACCTCCAAAGTCCCAAGAGAAACGATGTTCTTCGTCAACTGCGACACGAACCTCACTTCCTTCAACTCCCTAATCACTTCGTCATGCATCCTAATCCGGACTGAACCAATACCACCAATAGGGCATACGTGGTCATTACCCATAAGCACGATATCCCCTCTTTCTAATTCCTCAAACCTGGAGAACCAATCCCTCCTAGGGCAAATGTGATATGTAGCTCCTGAATCCATCATCCACTCCGTGAAATCAGCATAGCAAACCGACGGTAGTGCAGGACACGAATAGCCTGAATAATCTGAATCTGAATGCTCATTAATAGCTTTTACAACATTCACTTCTGAAGCTTGTACAACTTTTCCTTTGTTCTTCCCGGCTTTTTCCTTCCACTTTGGGCAGTCAATCTTCCAATGTCCTTCTTCTTTACAATACCGACATTGGTTTCTACTAACACTCTTATAAGCACTCCTATTCTTTGACTTTGAACAGTTGAACTGGCGACGGTTTGGATCTCGGCCTCGAACAGCTAATGCATCTCCCGATGCCTTCTCGGAGGGTTCACCATCACTCTTCCTCAACTCATAATTCACCAAAGCTGAGGTCACCTCCTTGTAGCTAACAATAGTTCTTTCATTGATCATAGTTAGAACGAACGTACCATAATCATCTTCCGGCAACGAGCATAAAAGTAACATCGCATTGTCTTCATCCTCAACCATGATATCCACATTGGTCATATCTGAAAGTAGTTTTGTGAAATTATTGACGTGCTCCCTGATGGAAACCCCCCTCTTCATCTTGAACTGGTAAAACATTTTCTTCAAGTGAAGCCGATTCTCATTGCTCTTAGTAAGATACTTCTCATTGAGTGTTTCCCACATTCTCTTCGCCGACGTCTCGTTCATAACATCATAAATAAGATCCGGCGTTAAGCATGACCGAATAACTCCATAAGCTCTACTATTCATATTCTTCCAAACCTTATGCTTCATGTCTTCGGGTTTCTTTTGTAACTCAAGAGTCTCCTCCAAATTCTGTGCATCCAAGACGTCCATTACCTGACACCTCCACAATCCGAAATTAATCTTGCCTTCGAACTTCGGAATATCAATCTTCGTGTTATTGATGCTCAGACTCTGTATCGTCTTCGTAAGAGACGAACCTGATGTGCTTGCTTCTCCCATATTATCGATCTAACTCTTCAGATAGGAATTCTTCACCGAATCCTTCGAACAAGGCTGAAGCTCTGATACCAATTGTTGTGCGCGGCGGAAGCCTTGAAGCGACACGAATAAGAACAAGAGATAAATCACAACTAATAAGATCCAAACACAATACCACAGCAAGACAATGAGTTTAACGTGGTTCGGTAAGTTGCCTACGTCCACGGGGCAAGGAGGGGGAGTTCTTACTATTAGAAATCAAGAGAATACAAATAGAGCTAAAAATCTCACAGATCAAACCCTAAAACAAAGCTCTAGATCTCTCACAAATCTTCCACAATTGGATGCAGCAATCCTCTTCCAAAGATTGCTAAAAAACGTCCTTACTTAACCTTAACTAATCAGAATTAGAGTTATATATCAGCTTCAAAACGAATTGGGTCAAATAACTGACCCAACTGCAAACCCGCTACGCGATCGACCGTGGCGGTCGACCGAACACCCCCGACAGAGAATAAATCGATTACATGAAACCAACAGTCGACCACGACGGTCGACTGAAGCAATTCCCAAGAGTTAAATCGCCTACAGGGTCCGCACGGTCGACCGCCACGGTCGACCACCTTCAGCTCCAGAGCCTCCTTCTCTCCTGTGCATGTTCACGGTCGACCGCCACTGACTCGCGGTCGACCGCCAGTCTGCTAAACTTCTGTCGCCACTTCTTCAAGAGAGAGAGAGAGAGAGAGGATCTTGCTAGGGTTTCAATCTAGAAGAAATGATCTTGATTTTCAATCTATGACAAATGATTTTGCTCAAGATTCTCAAAAAGCATCCTCAATGTCATTCATCATCATCCAATTATCAACCTTCAAGAAGTGTAAGCTTTAAAAACACCTTCCATGAAGGACCTGTTAAATTGGTTTAGAAAAAAATAAAGGAAACTAGTTAAAGAAAACTTGCAATGGAGAAAAGTGCCAAAAAATTGACAATTTACCTTTGTTTCTGATGTTTGCACTGCCAAAAAAGAAAAAGGAAAGTCAGAGGAAAGAGATGAATAAACACCCGATTTCGCCACTTTAGTTGAAATTTTCGATAACTTCACTATAGATTTCTGTTAGGAGGTTAATAATTAAAACGATGTAAATCAAGTTATATATAAAGAACATCGATTGCCTAGGTTACATAAGCCGGGCAGAATTTCTAGTTTTCATTAATTATCGAATAATAAATAATTACCGCTGCAAACTCAAAAGGAAAGACATGTTCGAATTTTGAGGAAACAAAATTGCAAGAACACATGCATATGCAATAAATCCCCAAAAAAAATTACAATTTTCAATCATACAAAACAATATAGTGTTATTTCTCAACACACATGAAATAATATGATGGGAATTAATTAATAAATCAATTCTGCTGAGTCAAATTAACACGGAGGCATATATCGAGGTGGACGTAGCATTTGAGAATCAGGCGTCGGACCATCCTTCACTATCAACACCGTGCTCATCCCCCAAACGAGATGGGATTCCACGTGGCAATGCAAGTACCATACACCTATATCATAAACCAGAAAAACCAAAGAAATAAATCATAAATTAATTCAAATGATCATGTGAATAGAAAATTTCACTTTATTCCAATTGGGCAGGTGACGTTCCTAATTTCTAATGGAGTCTAATTTTGGGGGCATATATTCGAATTCCTCCTTTTATCTACTTTGAATAGTAAACAAAAGCAAATATCTTGACTCGGACGGTCAATTTTCAAATGGGGATGATTTGTGGGGTATGTATGCAAAAAAAAAAAAAAAACCATAATTTTCAAATTCAGTAATTAAGTGACAAAGATTCGAAATTATTGGGGTATTTCGGTCTGTGGAAACATTTGCTGTATCAGCCTTTAGTACCTAATGAGAAAATTTGAAACGTTATGGGGGGTGATTTGAGACTTTCCAAACTTAATGGAGTTAAGTTGAATTTCCAATTTCACGGGCTTTGGTGATAAGTATCTAAAGTTAGTAGGGGGTTTTGTGAAATTTACCCTTTCCATTTTATGGCAACTTAAAAAATGTTTTTTTATATAGTACCCCACATCTTTCATATTTCTAAAGTTATCCCCCAAATCTTCGTATTTTAAAATTAGTCTCTAAATCTTTAGGTGTCCTTTTGGCAACAGTTTAAGTAAGAGAGGTTAAGGAGACTTAACCCTTTCTTAACCCTCCAAACACAAAAAATCTATACAAATGTTAAAGTGAGTTAACCCTTTATAATGTGTCAAAATGCAAAAAATGTGTAAGGTTAAGCTAACCCCTCTGGAGAGATTAACATGAGTTAACATCTCAAAATGATGGGTTTACTAATACTCCCATTTAGAAGAATTAAAAGTTAACCCCTCTATTTATAAAAAAATAGTAAAAATACTCATTACTCCAAAATACTAAAACTGATCATAAGGGTTAAAATAAAACTTATTTAACATGTTAATAATTTAGTCTTTCAGCTTATCGATTGGGCTAACTACGTTAATCTTTCTCCTTAATCTCTCTTCCTTAACCCTTTGTCAAACGGAGCCTTAAGGTTTAAAAATTGATCCCCTAAATTCTCATATTATTATATTTTGGAATTTGTCGCCCAAATGTGTTAAATATTTTCAAATTAGGCCCTAAAACTTTCAACCAGCTACTAATTAGAGGGGCTAATTTTAGAAAACTTAAATGGCTTGGGGAACTAATTTCAAATATGAAGATTTGAGTGACATTTCACAATCCTTAAGGATTTGGGGGACTATGTCAAGATTTGTAGGACTAATTCAAAATATGAAAGATTGTAGGGACTAATTCATAAAAAACCTATAAGAAGAGTCAAAATTTGCAAAAGTTACCCGGATTATTGGCCCGAAACCTGACAGCAACCCAGCCATTCTTCGGAACCGAAATCGTGTTCTTGAAAGGAGGATCCACAAGATTATATGCAAAAGGGTCCCTCTCCTTATCAAAATTACCAAACCCCCATCCAACAACATAAAAGCTAAATCCATGCAAATGCATGGGATGGTCCTCCGGCATAACCACCGACGTCCCTTGAAAAACAATTTCAACCCCAACCCCAAACTCCAAAAATTGCACTTCCCTCCCCACCATCGGCACCAAAACATCCTTTGGCTGCACGTCGGCTGTAAAATTGTAATAATAAGGGGGCTCATCTGGAAAATTCACCCCGAAAGCGGACGTCACCCTGTAATAATAAGCCTCAAGTATGTCAATGGACGTGCTAGGATTAAAGCTTATGTTATTCAAGCTCGCAGCAAATTTATCATGAATCTTGTTCAACGCAACGGCTATGAGAAATCGCCGGCCGATCAACTGAGGGATGTCCGTAGGCGGTTGCAGGCTCCGGAGTCTGCCCACAAAACCCGTCGCGGACCCGATAAGTTATAATTGCTGTTGCGGTTGTCGTATCGAAGTGTTTCGGGTCTTCGTAGTTTAGGGCTCTCGAAGCCAAGTAGTAGAGTGAGTTGGGGTTCTGGTCGGCCTGAATGAGGAGGTCCATTGTCTCGCCCGGGCTGATCATGAAGTACTGTGTGGTTATGGGTTTGATGTAGCTTCCGTCGGATCCGACCATCGTGATCTCGTGCCCGGCGATGGAGACGAACATGGCATTGGTGAGGCCGGCGTTGATCGTTCGGAGGAGGTAGATGTTTCCTTCTTCTAATTGCATGGTGAACGTCTCTGGGAAAAAAAAAACATGATGAAAAAGGAAAAGGTTTGTTCAGTTTTATATTGTGTTCATAACCGAAACCCCAACCTTGGTAAAGTTTTTAGAGATAGATATTTGTCCCTGAGTAAAATTAGGGACATTATCTGAGAGCAGAAGACTATCCACGATAATGGAGCTAGGGTAATAAGTTCAAAACAACAATGTTATAGGGATCCACGTGCAACTAGTCAAACTTTTTAGTGTCATTAGTCCTACTCTTTAATAACTTTATTTAAACCCAAATCCAAACAGTTGCACGACATTGTACAAAACATTTCTATAGATATACGATTCGTGTTCTCTCTGGTAATTGAGAGAAGGCATGCGTTAAAACATGGTTTTTATCTTTTGAGTACAAAGCAAAAATCGAAATGTAGGCAATTTTTGCAATCTTTTTTTTAAAGTCTTTTTTAACTGAGAAAGATCGAATCTTTTGGCCGGTTCGCAAAGATTTAAGGAGGAGGGTGTGAGCACGTGGGGGGGGACCACGTGATTGGTTGTGGGAATTTTGTTTCCGCGTGAAGTGCAGCAAGGCCCACCCGATTGATCACCTATTGATCACCTATATATACCTATTTAATCCCTTAGGGTTATGGGGTGCGGAAGGAGGGTAGCAGTTTTGTTTGGGCGGCAGAGGCTGGAAGAAAAAAAAAGGGCAGCGTGCAAAAGTGAATTTTTGGGCGGCGTGTTATTCCGGTGACTGTTTCTTTTGAGAGAAAAACTGAGAGATATTTGTGTGTGAGAGAGAGATTATTTGAGGGTTTAAATTGTGAGAGTTGTAAACCAAGTTGTATTCTCTCCTCTCTAATAGTAGATCTCCCCCTCCTTGCCCCGTGGACGTAGGCAGTTTGCCGAACCACGTAAAAATTGATTGTTTGAGTTTGTGGCCATTGTAATAGTTTTAGGATCCCTCGACGCGCAGTCCTAGAGCTGACGAGAGGAAGAGCAAATATCCCACTTTGATGGGATATTAGGCTTTCAGATTCTTGTTCCCTTTGAGAAACAAGAATTCTTATCGATCTTTCTCTCTTATTGTGCACCAGAAACTCTGCCGAAATTTCCGCTGCGCACAACAGAGGGATTAAAAAAAAAAGGTTTATCCAATTAATCCATATAGCGAATAATAAGGGACTAAATTGGTTAACCTATATATTAAGTAATAACGTACGCACCTGTCTTTGAGCAGGGATACAAGTCACCAGGCTGGCCATTGATAGTGTAGGCATCAGATGGTTCTGGCTCTAATCCTCCTCTGGTTTCATTATACATTTCCGTAACGTCTTTCTTCCACCATTCCCCTGTATATATCAAAACCAAAAATATTGTTAGATCCAGAGTTTTTATCGTATTAGACCCTTAAATCTTTGTTAATTGTATGTTAGATTTAATTACATTCAGCTATCCAGGGGTATTGTGTAATTACATGGGGGACCAGTGGAGTCTGCATAATGGGTGTTTGGTTACATAAGAAATTGGCAGAAACCAATCGATCTACAGAAATCTTTTCGACAAATGATTTTCTTTTGTCTTGTTTGGAAAGTGGTACTTCAAAGTAGGTTTTCTAAAAGAAACTCAAATTTAAGGAAACTCATATCCTTTTTTTCCATTCCAAATTGTAGGAAATGTGTTGGGAACCTATCTTTTTATTTCTTTTCTTGGATTCGATTTTGTTGCTTTGTAGGAAATCAACCAAATAATCTCTATATATGGATGGTCCCGAGCTTACTAATTGTATATCTACACAATTAACTCTCAGAAGGTAAAAAAGTAACTTAGGATCATGCGTGCAATTACAATAAATAGGTCTCAAGGCTACTTTTATAGATCACCCAGACTCTAATATCACTCATGTAGTTACAACATATATCTCAGAGTATCTATCTGAATGTAATCAATCGTTGTATATTTCACTCCGAAAATCATTCACATTTCTAAATTAGACCCCTAAAATATTAAGTGTATATAATGTAGCAATTAAAAAAAAGTGCCTAACCAAGTATGACTATAAATTCTTTGTGAGGTTTTGGGAAGGGGTAACAGTCGCCAAGCTTGGGATAGACCACAATGGCACCATGAACAGTTGCTCTGATCCAATCAGTATGTGCATGCCACCATACAGTCCCTTCTTCATCAGAGAGATCGATTATGTAGGTAAAGCTTCCCCCTGGCTTGATAGGGCACTGCGTTATGTACGCTGGCCCATCTGACCATGGATTTCTTGGCATTTTCACTCCATGCCTGCACTTCTCATATTACCACGCACATATATTTGATTAAGCTTTGGTAGAATAAATATCATAAGAAATGAAATAACTTTGTAAATATATATTTTCTCACCAGTGGATTGTTACGTTGTATGCTGCTAGATTGCAGACTTTGACCACCATTGTATCTCCCCTCCTTGCATATAATGTTGGTCCGGGGAATTGCCTGTTCACAGTCAATATCTGCTTTGTACTGCACAATCTAGTGTACTTAGCTGTCTCCACCTGCAAATCAAAACAAGCCTCTTTTGTCATTATATATTATCACAAGAAAATAAGGAATGAACTAATTAATAAACAGTACTCAATGTAAAATTATGATGCTGAGAAGGAACTTGTGCTAGAGTTTAGCTATATGCCAAGAAAAGAAAGTTCTTACTATTCATTGATAATTAAAGGGAATAACATTCTTAATTTATATAGGTAACTATCGTAGGATATCTGTAGAAAGTCCTAAGAATGAATAATTATTAAGAAAGGAAAACCATAGTAAATAAATCTCATCATTTTACAACTATTCAATGCATACAGATGCATGTATGTACACACGATCAGACAAAGTACTTACGACAAAATCATAGTAATGTGTTCCTCCCAAAGAAAGCCTAGAGACAAGCCATTGCAACACCACAAGCTTCAAGAGCCCAACGGAAGACATTTTTCTCATGAAGAAACCTTTAACCTGCCTTACAAAATCCTCCACGGAAAACTTGCACCTTTCAAATTGTCTCAAAGTAATAAGGTTTTTGTAGAAGATCCACTTGCTCACAAATTAATACAATGTATAGTTGTTAGATGGTTCAGGCCTGGTGCATGCCTTGATGGACTAGCTACCTGAAATGGGACCAGGCAAATTTTAATTTTACTTGTATTGAGGATTTATTTAAAACATCATTATCATATTAGAGATGAAAGAGGAAATCCTGCCAATTTATAGGCTAATATTCTTCAAGGGGATCTTATTGTGGTCCAATTTGGAGAGATGGGCTAGCTCCAATTCTATGTTGTTGTATATACGATTGTAGCATATACTCTCAAGTAGTTCAAGATTGTGTATCATGCACTAAAAATGAAGGCATCCATTAGATACCATTTTAATACCAATGGCTTAGTCTCCAAAGAGATTTTACTATTTTTGTGTACACACTCTCTAAACGACAACTACTTAATCTTTCCTACATTTTCAGTTTAAGTTAATAATAAAATTAGAACCCACAAAGATTTTATATAGCTAGCACTTTCTAACAATACAAATTCACTTTCTAAAACATAATAGTTAGCAACCTACATCAGCATATCTTGCAAATATGTAAAACTTCTTTAGTGTTTGTTACATATGGAACATGTGCAAGAGAGACGAATACAATCTCAATTTTTCTTATGGAGATGAAATTAGTAGAAGTGTTTTTAAAGTAATGATTTTTTTAATATATTCTGGTAGAATATCTAAAATTTGGTAACTAGAAACAAATCTTCGTATCATTTCATTTTGAATTTAAATCCTCTTTGCTGCTTGTTTGATAGTAGAAAGTCTATTGCTCTAATCATATTCATTCATTAACATTGAAGACAATTAATTATTTGTTAGATTAATATAAAATTACAACCCTCAATTCTCACCATAACTTCAGGATCTTGGTGCGGAAGCAGGGTCCGTTAACATGATATGAGAGCAACCAACATTGGAATCTTATTGGCCATGAATTTCTACATAGATTTTAAAAACAAATTTGGTACCACTATGTAAGTCTATATTTATGTCCTTTTAAGGCCTTCTAACATGTTAGAATATGAAATTATAGCATTTAATATAACCTTTGAGGTTTTGATGTAATCGTGAAAAACAAATAGTATTAGTTCCAAACTTAATTAACTGTTATATTCTTCATGAATTATAGGTGATTGGAACTCTATCAGTCAAATTCAAATTAGTATTAATGTCACGATTATTCTCATGCCATTATCAAACTTGCACAATCATCCAAGCTGAACCATTCAACATCAACGTCCATTTCCTCAAAAATTAAAAAACATCAACGTCCCAAGTATCACACCATTTCCCAATTCAATGCACTTTCAGTTGGAGTGGGCTTTGTCACGCATTCATCCACCATCATCAAAATGGGATTTTATGCGATATGGCTACAATGTCATACTGTGCGCAAATACAGGCTTCCCAAGGACCACTAACCTATGGTTATCAATCATGATCAGCATTTTGGTGGCACATCTTTCATGACAAAAGAATGGCTAGATCCCATAATCCTGAAACATCTGACGATATTTCTAGGCTCACCTGCTGCCAAGGCTAAAAATGATAATGTCTTTTTTTTTAAAAGATAATTTCGTAGTTGATGAAATTATGTAAGTAATAGAACTCGGTGGATCTAAAGGAACATGAAGAAAACAGCAAAAATGATTAACTGCAGACACACCATACGTACTACTGAAACGTAGACACGTACATTCTCTACTACTTTATTATCACATACACCCTTGCATGTGTTGAAGATGGTTTGCGTTGAAGCCAAACACAATCGAATCGACCTGGGTCTAACGTCAGACGCGGGCACCAAGTTGAAAGTAACCCAACATACTGCAACGACATTGGTTAAGGTCCCTGTGATCACGACCAAAGAAACTAGATGATTGGTCAAGTTCTTTGCAAAATTCAAGCTACGTACTGAATTTTCGCTGACAGATGTCGGATTGACATTGGTCAAAGTCCATGCTTTTTTCCAGATCTAATTAATTAGAATCCTGTTTCTGCAAGAATTCAATATGTGGTTTATTGAGAAACTTTACAAATTAGAGCTTTGCCATTAGAAAAATAGATTTCGTTAATATGCTTTAAAAGAACATCAAGATAAGAAGAGAATAGTGTGAGGGATCTCCGAGAAGAAAGAGCGATAATAATCTTCTTCGACATTGTTGATGACTAAGATCAAACGTCAATTGTATCCAAAAGAGGATAGGTGCGGATCCTGGGTGAGATCGGTTCCTCTTGAGTCCGCGCGGGGATGAGGTAGAGGAAATTGATGAAGGAGCCGCCTCCTTCTTCGACTTTATGCCTTATTCTTAAATTAGAGGTTGAAGTCCATACTGTACAGATAAGAATAACCCCTAAGAGGACGGGGACTGGTGCTCCTGTGATTCCTCCGACGGTCAAGTTAGTAAAACTTGAGTGGGGAAGGAAAAGGTCAAGAACCGAAGTGGTTCTTGAGGTGGCAATGTTGTTAGACCCGGGGTGGGGGGGATTAGGGTCTTATGCTAATCTGATCCGATTTTTTACCAATTAAAACTTATTAATAAATTATTCTTGCAAGATAGATATACAAAATGTTATGAGCAATAATATACAATATAAACAAAGAGATATATCCTATCAAAGAGGTATATGATGAAATATATGCAAGGATATATAAATTAACACAAGGATAAACAATCTAAACTAAAGATACAATCGTGATATGACAATATAAACAATACAAACACACAATATGATCACGGAGTTCGGACCTTCCGTTCTACGTCTTCGCTCCCCACTCCTGGGGAGAAATCCACTATCATAACCTGATTTTCTACGCTAACCCGAATAACGTTTACACCACACAATATCGATTTTCAACGCTCATCGATCAACGATCACAATCTCACGATGTAACTACACTCCACACACTCTAAGTGTTGGTTTCTCCGTGTCCTTCCTCAAGTACCCGGATACAACCTCTCCCTAGGTTCATCAACCGACGCCACTCCTCTTGGAAGCAACCCTGTCTCTCACCACACACTCCTCTCGGTGTACTAGTGTAATACAAAGTGAATCTCATAATTAAAGGTTACAAATCAAATGATTATTCTCTAAACAAGGTGAAAACTCAATTAAGTATAACTCTTAGTCACAAACTTACAGCCCCAAATTATACTATGAATGTAAATGCAATAAGCTCAATAGGTTGTGTGTGAACAAAGAGATAAATCAAAACAAGTCTAAACTCAATTTAATCTAGCAAAATAAATATGACAAGTTGAGCATAAATAAGCTAGATAAAGAGTTTAAGAAAACTTCACTAAAATAAGAGTGGAGGGATGCAGATTGAAGCTCAAACAAGATTGATGATCTCCTCAAACTCTTGTGAAATTCTTTTCACAAACAAACTCTTAAACACTCTTTTAAACAAACACAAAACAAGCTTAAAACCTTGTTAAACTCTTTTAAAACATCTTTTGGTAGTAGAAAATAGTTATGGAAAAGGGGTATATATAGGAAAGAAGAAAACAACCAAAAAAAAAAAAATCCCAAAAACCCACTAAAAAACAAAAAAATCAGCAAGTTACTGTTACTGTACAACGGTAACTTCGGCGGTCGACCATGACGATCGACCGCGAGAAGAAAAACTACAAAAATGATCTCTGGACTACTGATGGTCGACCGTACTTTTTTAGATTTTGGCAGATGCTGGAATTTTACGTATCTGACTTTGTAAAATCAATTAAAAATAGTAAATCAACTCCAAAAATCATAAAATTTTGAAGGAAGGTTCTAGATATGTAAATAAACATGTTAGAAAATCTGAAATATCACTTCCCAGTTGATAGAAATAATTATTTAAACACAGATATACAGTTTCTGAAAAAACTACTGAAAACTTGGTTTTGTAAATTCAATTGAAAATAACAAAACAACTCAAAAATTAGTAAAACTTGAGGAAATGTTTGTATATATGGAGATAAACATGTAAACGAAGAATTTTTTTCAAATCATACTTCCCAATTGTGAAAACGCATCTGTTTTGTAAAAACATGCACGAACATGCGCACGAACATGAGCTTATTAAAAAACTTGATTTTGTAAACTTAAATAATCATAACAAATTAATTCTAAAATTGATAAAACTTTGGGAAACATTTATAAATATGAAATTGAACATGTTAGAAAAAGAATTTCTCAAATTGAGTTTCCAATTTGTGAAAACTCATGTATTTTGCAAGTGTATCGAAAACATAAAAATATGATATACATGAAATTTGATGTTTTGACATAAATAATGTTTTGAAACCCTATAAAATAATTTTATAGACTTAATAAAGTATATATACAATGATTGTTAAGTCCATAAACCAAAACTTGTATATATATAACTATATATATAAAAACCAAATATGTGTATGTATATATGATTGAGTTTAAAGTACTAACACACATAATATAAAACATAAACTAAATATACCCAAGCTTGATAGATCTTCGATGTAGCTCAACTTGGTACACTTACGGATGAAGCTAGAACTTAGATCTTCAATTTGAATTGCATATGCTTCGCTTTACAATTCCGCCAACCTCCATTTGATATGATCGTGAATGCTCGATTCCATCCATCCTCTAATATGTTGTTTGTCTATAATAAATAGAATTATACAAATACTAGACAACCAGCATTAGAAGTAAATTATTTGTTAAACATTATCAAAACAAGAAGGCCAATAATCTCCCCGTTTTTGATGATGACAAATAATTTACAAAAATGATATATGCATGAAAGAAAATGAATATGTAATATTGTAATTATCATACATATAAACAAAAAGAATATACTTATAATATTTCTTCCCTTTTGACAACATCAAAAAGGGGAAACAAAAGAATGAAGAGAGCGA